CAGGCGCTAACGCAGATTTAATTACCCAAAAATTTATTAACGAGTTGGGTTTAGTACATCATGTAAATGAAACCAATTGTCTCAAATTACAAACTCCTGATGGAATATTTTCTGTATTAAGAAAGGTTGAACGGCAAACTAATTTTAGCGGAGCTAGTTCTACTAATGTTTATGGGGAAAATAAAAGTACCGATCCCGTTGAATTCTTGGTTCTTGGATCAGATTGGCCTGGGCCTGATTTAGTGTTAGGAAACCCATGGTTGCAAAAAAATGGCGCAACTATTGATATGTGTAATAACAAATTTTCTATACATGATAATTTTGCAATCCCAATTATGAAAAATAGTGAATCCGAAACTGAACCTGAGACAGACTCTTCTAATCCAGATCGCCAATAGAGAATAAATCATGACAAATGTGTGTTTTTCTCTAATCAAATGACGTAAAATGATGTCAAGATTGCCCATATAAAAACATTTACTGAGATCGTCCATAGAAAAAAATAAGCATAATTATAATATTTTTAACCTCCAATACTGAGTATTAATTATTCAAATAATAAAAAAAGTTAGCGCAGTCTCGTAATCTTGACATATGTAAAAATATCCGAATGAAAACGAGGGTGTAGATTACGCAAGTTAATTGTTATAATGGATTCTAACTTTATTCCTATTAGATCGATTAATATAATTACAACTCTGAATAATTCATCATTAATTGTTGTTTGAATAAACCTTATTACTGAATAATAATTTCTAGACTTTATAATGCTACGCACAGATATACAGTCCCCGGCGAAAGTAATGGTGGTACAATGAAACATTATTTTTGCCAAGTTTTTATTAAGTTTACAAAGCAAAAACGTTATTTTGTTATATAAAATGGTAAAATTTTGTGAATTTCAAGGGTGGATAGTTTTGGTTTTGTGAATTACTAGTGTGTAACATTCTTGTTGAACCCCCATACCCCCCTAGCTATTAACATTTAAAATCACGGGAAACTTGACAACAAGTGATGAAAATCAGAAATATATAAAAAAACAACTATTTTACTCACTTTACGCGTAAAAAAGAATAATATTATTTATTTCAATATTTAATAAAAATAAAAACAAAATGAAAATCTTATGTGTTGCCGAAAAACCATCAATATCGAAATCAGTTGCAGAAATATTGTCAAATAGAGAATATAGAACGGTTAGTTACTAAGTCATGATTTAATCCTGTGATGATTTGGATATCAAATAATAATTATTATCATTAACATACTATGTATGTTACTACAATAACCACAACTACAACTGATAAATAATAATAATAATGTTATTGTATAGCGTCAGACTGGAAATCGATTTATAAAAAATTATGACTTTAGTTGTATCTTTAATAATAATCAAATGGTAGAAGTTACAATGACAGCTGTATCAGGACATTTGATGAAATATGATTTTGCACCAGAATATAAAAGATGGGATTCTTGTGCCCCATTAGTATTATTTCAAGCACCTATAATAAAATTTGTTGGGGAGGTAATTAACTTATTAATGGATTAAAGTTGAAATGGAATTAGATAAAAAACCATTTATTAAATGTCTACCTATATTATATGTATGTGGTTTTAAGGAAAATAGACAAATTAAAGATAATTTATATCATGAGGCACAAAGAGCTGATCAACTTATGATATGGACAGATTGTGATCGAGAAGGTGAAAATATAGGATCAGAAATTGCATCTATATGTGAACAAGCAAAACGTGGAATTAGAATAACAAGAGCCAGATTTTCCGCTATTATTCCCGAGTAAGTAAGGAAGGATATTATTAAAAAAAAATTTTTTTATTAATTAAAAAATTAAAAAACAATCGTCAATATATACATATATATAAAGTCAAATTTTTAGAGCATGGAGAAGATCTGTTGGCTTAGATATGAATCAATCTGATGCAGTAGATGCAAGGATAGAACTTGATTTAAGAATTGGGGCAGCTTTTACTAGATATCAAACATTAAGTATCCAACATTTATTTCCAGAACTTCAAAAGCAAGTTATAAGTTATGGTTAGTATTAATTATTTTTTTACAAATAAAAATGAATGAATGTCTTGGATTATATAGAGATGTAAAGGTCATTTTTTACTAGTAAAATGATTACGTTAGGGTGACTGGGACGTAATAATGCCCCTTCCATATTTGTTGATTAATGTAATAATTATGTGATATAATTTCTTTGCGTGATTCGTTAGTGTATACCACACCCTCTCTCATGCAATCATTTTGATAGTAAAATTTACGGAGAGTGGGGAGTGATTTGGACGTAATAATGAATGATATATATTATTACAACTTTTGTCTAGGGTCATGTCAATTTCCAACATTAGGATTTGTGGTAGATCAACATCATAAAGTTGAAAATTTTATTCCAGAAGAATTTTGGAAAATACAAGTGGCTTTGGAAAAAGAAGAAATCTTGGTAGAATTTCACTGGGAAAGGAATCATTTATTTGATAAAGAGATATGTTTCGTAATTTATGAACAATGTGCATTAAATCCTATGGCAACAGTTGTTGAAGTTATTTCTAAAGTAACAAAGAAATGGTAATTGTAATATAATTGTTATCGATGTTGGAAAAATTTAATCAATAATAATTTTTGTGGGCGTGTTTAGTAATGATGGAACACTTAACTGATAGGAAACCATATCCATTAACTACTATTGAACTTCAAAAGGTTGCTACAAGAGCTTTAAGAATGTCGTCAGATAGAATAATGGCAGTAAGTTAGGTTTCATCATCTACTATTATAACTATCAATTTATTATTATTATTATCGTCATTATAAAGAATTTATAAATTATATATAACAGGTTGCAGAAGATTTGTATAATAAAGGCTATATAAGTTATCCTAGAACCGAAACCAATCAATTTGATAATAACTTTGATTTAAGACATTTGATTGAGAAACAAGTGGATTCACATGACTGGGGAAATTTTGCAAGAGGGTATAGTGAAAATAATATAATATCTAATATGAAATAACAAAAATAATAAATTATTAATTGATTATTAAAGCCTTTTGGAAGGTAAATTTAAACCACCTAGAAGAGGTAATCAAAATGATAAAGCACATCCCCCAATTCATCCAACAGCCTATGTATCAAATTTAACACGAGAACAGAAACAAGTATACGATTTTATAGTTAGAAGATTTCTGGCTTGTTGTTCGGATGATGCTAGTGGATATGAGACAGCAGTGAAAATTCAAGTACATGAGGAAAAGTTTGCTGCAAAAGGATTGGTGATATTAGAAACGAATTATTTGGATGTTTATCCATTTGATCAATGGACTGCGACATTTTTACCAGGTTTTCAACAAGGAGAACAAATTATTCCAACAAGTTGTGAAATGAAAGATGGACAAACCACCAGTCCAGAATATTTGACAGAAACAGAATTAATTAGCATAATGGATCAAAATGGAATCGGTAATATTCAGTAGGGTTGATAAAATATGATAGACTTGATAAGGATATGTTTTTATTATTAATATATATTAAATTTCTGACAGGAACTGATGCAACTATACATGAGCATATTGCTAAAATATTAGAGCGAAATTATATTACAAAAGAAAATAGAGGTAATAAAACATATATAATTCCACAACCTTTAGGTATAGCATTAGTAGAAGGATACGATTCTATTGGTTTCGAGATGTCACTGTCAAAACCATATTTAAGACGACAAGTAAATTATTTTTTATTATAAAGATATATATGTTGTTCAGATATATATTTGCATATTTATTTAACATATTATTTATATATATAGATGGAAATTAAACTTAAAATGGTTTGTGATGGAGAATATATGAAGGAAAATGTTGTTACAGAAAGTCTGGTAATGTATAAAGAAATGTTCGTTAAATCAAACCAAGAACGACAAAAACTTATAAGGGTAAAAAATTTTTTTATTATTACCTTGATTATTATTATTCTTGATTTTTAATTATTACTTAATTATTATTTAGAGTGTTCAAACGCATTTGAGGGATAATGTTAATAGGAATGTTGCTACCAATGCTATTACAACTACGAATAGAGCTACCAATGCTGCTACAACTACGAATAGAAGAAGTGGTGGAAGAGGATCAAGAGGGGGGAGAAGAAATGGAAGGGGTGGAAGAGGTAGGGCGGGGTAATTATCGAAATCTGGCAAAAGAGATTTTGATGTATGAAGTTGGTAGATGTTCTAACGATAAATCATATATATGAGTCATCGATCTATATTTATTAATTAAAATTTTTCTGTTTCGCCTAAATTTGGAATGTTGTTTCCTTTAATCTTATCTAATTCTTTGGGCCAGAATTAGATGCGACAACAAATTGAGGCTGGTGTTATGCAGCTTCCAAATTATCAACTTAAAAAATCCATCTAAAATAATATATATCCTACTTTATCATGATTAGAATAATTGACTTATTATCCTCCATATTGTTCAGGTAATTGTTAATATTTTACCAATAAAGTAATAAGTTTTTGATGATTATCAATGATATTGAAGAGAGAAGAAAAAAAGAACATTCAAATAAATGCTCGAAGACGCAGGTATTTATTTGAATTATAAATAATTAATCACATCAAGATATATTTTATCAGTTAATATTTCAAGAATCCATTCACCAAAAAATTAAGTTCAAGATCAAGCTGTTGTTACTGATGATGATTCTTTAAACATTCTAATAAACCACCAAGAAGGGCCTAGGCCTTTTAATCTAATATTAATCATCAAAAAAAAACCGTAGAGATAATGGTTTTTTTAATTACGAGTTTCATTATTTCTAAGATTTTTGCATATATATATATTTTTTGTAAACTTGAATGATAAAAATAATTTATTCTATACGTTATTCTAAAAGATTTAAAATTAAATTCCCACTTATATACCAAATTAAAAACCTAGCCTATTATTAAATTATTTCTAGTTTATTGTTTGAAAAGAAAAAGTAATTTTATTTATTAAAGACTAAAACTCTAAAAATCTAAATTGTTTCATCATTCATCATCATCACCATGATTAACTGGTTTCAAGGCATACCTTTAGATTATAAATTTAATAAATAACCAATCATATAAAATTCAATTACGATAAAAAAAAATATAAATAAATGATATTTACATTTTTACTTCAAATAAACCTTCAGGCATTCCAAATTGAACTGCTTCTTTAATTAATTTTAATCCAGATTTTTCAAAAATTTCTTTAAATATTTTATCAGATCTAAAATACAATGTATAAAGAAAATAATTTTTTTTATTACTTGAGCAAACAGATCAATCAATTAGCATTATCTTCTCCATCAAATTCTCGTTCTCATTCTCTTTCAGATTTATTATTA